TGTTGAACCTCATCCTATTCTCATCTGCCCACTTTTGTAGTCTGTCTAAATCTAGTTGCAGCCTCTCTCTCCCTTCAAGTGTGTCCACCTCGCCCCACATCTTAGTGTCATCAGCAAGTTTGGACAGCGTGCTTTCCACTCTCTCGTCCAAGTCACTGATGAAGATGTTAAACAGTGTAGGCCAGAGGACCGAGCCTTGGGGTACCCCACTGCTCACATCTCGCCAGGTTGAGTACAACCCGTCCACCACCACTCTCTGGGTGCGCCCCATCAGCCAATTTTTTACCCATCTAACTGTGCAGGCATCAATGCTGCAGTTGCTTAATAGGTCAAATTATATCACATCCACTACTGGCTGTTGATGAATCTATGCTGGCTGTTCCTGATCACCTTGTTCATTTCTGTTCACAATAGCATTTCATGGTCACTGTCACCCAAGTTATCTTCCACCTTCATATTCTCAACCAATTCCTCCCTGTCTGTGAGCAGTAAGTCAAGAACAGCTTCCTCCCTAGTTGGCCTGTCTACCATCTGTATCTAAAAGTTATTCCCAACACACTTCAAGAATTTTCTGGCTGCTTGGGACTGCTGTGTTTCTCTCTCAGCAGATGCTTGATAATTACAGTTGCCCTTGAGAACCAAGTCCTGCAATTTGGAAATTTCTGTCAGTTGTTTAAAGAAGGCATTGTCCACCTTTTTCTGGTTTGGTGGCAAGTAACAGATGCCCACCATGACATCCCCATTGCTGCTCTCCTCTCTGACCTGTTACCCAGAGGCTTTCAATAGGCATACCTTCCACTTTGTACTGTGGCTCAGAACATATGAACATCCTGTATATATACAGGGCAACACCTCCTCCCCTCCTCACTTTTTCCTAGGCCTATCTTTCCTGAACATGATCCATGATCTTGCTCCAGTCATGTGAACTATCCCACTGTGATTCCAATTGGATCATAATTCTGTGATTGTACTAGGACCTCCAATTCTTCCTGTTTGTTTGCCAGGTTTCTTGCTTTAACAAATACTTCAGGTATCTAATTGATTGTTCTGTCTTCTCCCTGAGAAAATTGCTTAGGCTTCTAATTCCCCTTATTACATTTTAACCAGATCCCTTGACTGTTTACTTACCTCTGGACTTTTGTCTCTATCCCCTAGTGAACCTAGTTTAATGCTCCCCTTACTAGGTTAGCAAGCCAGTATGCGAAGGCACTCTTCCTTCTCTTCATCAGGTGGACCCCACCCCTTCCTAGAAGTCCATCCTCTTGGAGCACTACTCATGGTCAAAAAAGCCAAAGCTCTGCTGGTGACACCATCTACACAACAATGTGTTGATCTCCCAGATGTGTCTGCTTCTAGCTGGGCCTTTATCCTTGACTGACAGGATTGATGAGAAAACCGCCAGGGCCCCTGGGCCCTTCACCATTCGGACCAGAGCCATGTAGTCATTTCAGTTCTGCTCAAGGTCACCCCTGGCAGTATCGTTAGTGTCCACATGGAAACGTAACATAGGATATGCTGGATGAATCTTGGCACCTTTTCTGTGACATCTCAGAAGCAGGCTCCTGGCAAGCAGCACAACTTCCAAGCCAACAGGTTAGGCAGGCAGGTAGATGCCTCTGTGCCCCACAGGAGGGAGTCACCAACCACCACCACACATTGCCTCTCCTTGGAAGCAGTAGGCTCAATTCCCCTTTTTCCCACCCCACCCTGACAGGAGCATGGCTTGGATGCTTCCTGCCACTGGAGTGGGCGCCTTCTCACTTGATGCCAGAGCTTTGTACTTGTTCGCTAGCTAAACAGCTGCAGGTTCAGAAGAGGAGTGCTGTCTGGTGCCAGAGGTGACAGGCTGGCAGCTTCTGATTTCCACACTATCTGTGTCTTCTGTGGCTTCCAGTGCCCTGTCTGGCTGCCACTCTTCCATGATGCTTGAGGTTTCTTTGAGCATTTTTACACAGGCTCCAGAGGAAGGGAGGCACTTTAAATTAGACTGGCTCCATGAGCCTCTCTAATTAAAGCGCCTGCAGCAGCTCTGTATCAGCATCCCCGCACTTCAAAATGGCAGCAGGGGCACTTTAACTAAAGCTCATTCAACACCATTTTGAAGTGCGGGGATGCTGATACATGAGACACGGAAGCTGCTGGAGCAGGATAATTAGCATGCTGCAACCAGACACACTGTAATTACAGCACATCAGAGCAGCCTTTCCACATGCATGCAGGCACCCTTTTGTGCCTTGGATCAATGAAGGTCTCATGCTCACATATGCTCCTGAGCTTATCTACTTCCTCCTGAAGTTCCCTTCCCTGATTCCTGAGAGGATCTACCAGGAGGCACCTCTCACATTGCAAGCCCTCCCACATCTGGCTGTCCCTGGCAGGGACATGTGGACTGCAGTGCCTGTAGAGCCGGACCACAACCTGGGTGGAAGTCTCAGTAGTCAGAGGCTGTGTCTGCAGAAAACAATTGCAGATGTTTCCTCTGCCTGAAGAAGGGTGTTTGTATGTGAAAGCTTGTAAAGAAGAATTTTTCCAACTATTTTAGTTGGTCTAATAAAAGATATCGGATTTACCGAAGGAACCATGTCTGCCTGTGCTCTTAGGCCAACACAGCTACAACCGATAACCTTAACCAATATACTTTTAAAGTCTTGACCTGACTCTCCAGAATAGTGGGTTAAAATTCTTGGAGTGCTGATTTACTTGAACTTTCTTAAGTAGATATATTGAGTTTTACACATCATTCTATCTGGCAGTTATAAATATACTGTTTAACTGCAAAATGGAGTATTTTGCTTGGATACAATGGTAATGAAGATGGTATGAGACTCTAGATAGATTGGTGTGTCTTTAATTTTCACTTCCCTTTTCACAGTGTGTGCAGAGTGACTTTCTATAGGCATCTGCCAGAAGGAAACATGAAAATGTGTGTATAAGCATTCACCTGTAGAATTATGTCTCATTGGTTTTCAAAGCATTCAGTTCCACTCCTAGCAACTAGAACAGAATATTTTGGAATATCTTTTAGAAAGTTTAACTCAGGAAGTTTAATTAAAATAATATGACATGTGTGTTCTTCTTGGATTAGTGCCTTATAAATTGGCTGTTCTCTTTTTTCCATGCCAAAATAATGTCATAAGAGCATACACTACTAATTAGAATGAAAAACTGGCTAGAAGTTAGGTAATTCACATTTACTTTAAGAAAACATTGATTGATTGTTTTATTAGTTGAATATATTTAAGCAGGTGCTACTATAATTAAAATAGATCATAGAAGCGAAGTACACCTATGTTGTAACCCATCAAATTGGAAAACTGCTGTTATGTTTTAACTTAGAATAGATTGCCAGTCACTGATTCTTTAAAAGCTGGAATTACATGTCCTTATATCCAGGTTTCCAGAGTTCACAATATGCAGTTCATGAAACTGTATAGCCCTGTTTCCTCCTCCCCTTTTAAAATATTATAGTAACATAGCCTTTCGACTAATACTTAACACATCTTTTCATCTCAACTCAAGAAAAGATTTTTTATTTTATTTTTTTTAGCAACTGCCATTTTATTTCTATTGGAACAAGGAAAAAAAAATCGGTTTTGGCACAAATCTGACCCCAACCATTACTGCCTACAATTTATCCTGGCTTTGAAAAATAGGCCTTATGCTGATCTGTTTCCCACTGTGATTAACTGATTGTTTTGGCACCATCTTCTCTATCCTCATCATTACTGAGAAGATTAGGACAAAGAGAGACGAGAAAAATGATAAACACAAATGGAAATAAGAATGGAAAAATCCTATGATAAATAATTCTTAATGCCAGAATACATTCATAGCCCCCTCCCTCGTGCATATGAAAATACAGAGCTTGAATCATAATTCACTTTGTCATATTATTTCAAAAATCAACCAAGTATTCCCAGCCTAATTATGTTTCTTGCAACAAGTGTATTTTTAAATAATGTGATCTTTTCTTTGCAGCACTTTGTGAGCAGAAGTGCCTGTTTGGAAGCAGATGCATAAGACCAAATGTTTGTGCCTGTAGAAGTGGCTATACTGGGGTAACATGTGGAAAGAAGGTAAGATGTACATTCAAAATACTGAATTCTACTAGTAAAATGGTAGAATTCAACATTGTTTTATGGGAAAATGCATTAACCAGATCTTGTAATATTAAAAAAAGAGTTCTATAGTTATGAAAATATTTTAAAGAAAGCTAAATGTCTGGTAGATTTCTGGCCTATCCTCACCCGTCATGTCCCAGAAGATCTAATGCCCTACCAGGACTAAAGGACTAAAGTGTGCTCAGGCATAGTTCCTTTAGGGCACAATTTTTATTTTTCAGATACGCAGCTCAGAGTAACACCAAACTAAAGCAGAGTCCCGAGGCTTTTTTCTACGCATGTCACCTTCCTACTCCAAGATCAGCTATATTCCTTCCCTCAGCTCCCTTCCACCTGAGCACTCATGAGCTTTTACAGGAACCATGCCATTCCCTCCCAAATGATGTAAAACAGGCCTACTACCCCCCACACCCATTAAAGGGGCAGACAATGTGTTACATACCTTCCCCTTCCCCAAACTTTGCTCAAACCCAAGGCATATTATATAGTCCAGAGTACCTGTTTTGTCATGTTGATATACTCTTGTGTTTTCCTCAAATCAGCAGGGTCTGTGCACAAAGATGCATCATTCCCTTCCCAGCCTACTGACCACCAAGAGTAGGATGCTCCTCCCCTTCCAGATGTTCTAGTTGCTGCAGATTCAGGAAGGCATCCCCATTTCCCCAAAAGGCCAAGGTGCCCTTGAGTCACCTCACTCCTTAAACACTTTTGGTCTAATTGTTTCATGAATCTTTCATGTTGGGGTGCCTCCTGCCATTTTGGAGTGGCAAACTACACCTGCTCCCGCTTTTGTTGGCTCTCCAGGATTTACAGGAGGTTGGTTGGATATGATAATGCTGTTCCTATTATTTCTGCTATGTCGACACTGCAAGGCATAGAATGGACTCTATCCTATCTCTTCTTAACAGCTGTCCCTTCTGCCTCTCTTTTTCTGTAGTTGGCTTAATTTCCCCTTAGTTCTAGGGCCAAATGCCTATCTACATCTCTTATTTCCTGCAGGCTGCTGGCCTGTCTCCCTCGGCTCAGGAAAAACTAACACCACACCCACCATCCATGCAAGCCCTACTTTTAATTTTACTCTTCAGACATACGACTTGCAAAACAACCCCAAAACATGGCCTCTCACCAAAGCAGTCTGCAGGGCTCCAGAACCATTCTTCTTGAATTTCTTCTTCCTATTTCAGAGCCAACCAGAGGCAACCATGCTATAAGTCCTTTGCACCTGACCTCTTTAAAGGAACCACTGACTCTTTACCAGATATGCCTAAAAATTGAGCTTAGGTGCTAGGCAGGGTCCCTAGACTTTAAAAAGAGGAAAGTACTTTATTACATCTCTATACTCAGAATTCAATTTAACTGTATATTTTGTCTACAGCTACATTTTCATATAAAAGTACAACTTCTACAATGACACTGAAATGCAGTAGATATAGATCATAGAAGTCAGGCTCGTTGAAATTTTCTGGACACCTTAGATCTAAACAGGACAAGTGTAGCCTAGAAAAATATGGTTTGTATTTTCTCAAATGCTTTGTTTCATATAATGTTAAAGTCTAACTTTTTATATTAAAGTCCAGCTAGACATAAAATGATTGAATGCAAACACCTGCAGACAGTGAATTATCTTAGCAGAGCCAGAGTTAACTTTCTGAGATATCAAACCAAGTTTATCAGCTTGTCTTCAGGATGTTGTTGTACTTGTGAGTGTACAGTGTGATACATGTCAGTTCACAAATGAAATGTAACTTTGTTGCGTTTCATGACATATCAAATCAAATACTGAGCTCCCAGTTTTCCCCCCAAATGAATTATACACAGCAGATAAACATTGGCTAAAACAGAAGTTACAATAAAACATTCCAAAACAGTCTGTAAATATTATTTTATATCCACAAGCACAAAGCCATAAGCAGTGCCTGTAGTCACATGGGATTCCCCAGTAATTCTATAATTTGCAATCTTCCTCCTCACCATTCCTTTTCAAGTTTCCGAGACAGCCTTCTGGTCTATCCTGCAATAATATTAACTTGTTGCTTAGGAATTTGGTGCTCATAAAAGGTCAGGTCAGTTTCCCCTGCTACCGTAATTTACAGCACACACTACTACCTGGCCAAGTGCTGGCCAGCAGTTAAATAACATGGCAAACTTTAGGGTGTCAGTGGCTTCAGGCTGAGAGGGTACTAGTCTTACCCCTGACAGAGGAAATGCTGCTAAAAGGCTGTGGAACTGACGTCTGCTCCATGATAGGATAGACTGGGCTCTTTAACCCTAGTCAGCAGTCAGTCTAGGAGTGAAGCCCAGAAGGCACACCTCTGGCCTCTGCCAATTATCGGAAAGATTGGCTGTCTACCAAAACTCCTTAGCATAATCCACTCCTACACAGAGAGCGTCCTTCAAAGCTTCATCAGTCACTCATGCCTGTCAAGAGTTTGGTCTTACAATCAGCATCAAGTAGACATTAGGGGTCATAACAGTGATTTACCACCAGCAATCACAATAGTTGAAAACATACTGCGTATTGTAAGCAAAGTTGCATACATTACCTCCATTGTTACCAACAACCTCTCTATGACTTGTGGCTGAACTGAATGACCATATTAGCAAAGCATCAGGTATCATAAGTATGCTGAGCAAATGAGTGTGAAACAACAACAACAAACTTACTGTTAAGATGAAGATCAAAGTATATCATGCTTGATTCATCAGCATCCTTTTGAAATCCTGGACCACATACTCTACTCACAAAAAACATCTCAACAACTTCCACTTGCCTTTGCCGCAGTCTAGGAATTTCCTGGAAGGACAAAGTTGCCCACATTGAGGTCCTGGAATGTGCCAACAATCCGAACATCCATTCTCTTATCAGCTGGCATCGACTTTGATGTCTTGATCATATGTGGACAATGGATGATAGCTATTTACCTAAGGATCTTTTGTATGGAAAACACTTTACAGGAACAAGACCATCTGGGCATCCTTATCTCCAGTTCAAAGATGCTTGCAAAAGGGAAATGAAGGCAATGAACATCAAGCCAAATGACTGGAAGAAGACTGCTGAGGTTCAGAGTGCTTGGAAACATTCTATCAAGCGTGGAACGGAGGCTTTTGAGGAAGCCCTCATTCCATCGCGCCCAACATGTAGAGAAAAGAAGAAACCTCAGGAAGAACCCTGCACCACATTCAGGGTTGTTTGATAAGAACTTCAAATGTGGAAGTGGCCATTGCTCAAGAATCAGGTTCTCCAACCGCACTTTCAGATGCCTCGTTCGGCACAATTCTACTGTTTTGCAAGACAGACTGATTCCTACTACTACTACAACAGTCCTGATACAAAAATTGATAAATTGTGAATAAAAGGGATTAAATAGTAAGCTTGCACAAAGTTAGAGCTGTTAATGGATGATTGATTGGAGTCTAGTTTAAACTGCCCAGATCATGCTGAGTTCTCAAGAAACCAAATGAGTAAAGAAAGCCTTCTTTTTTGAAACCCAGCTTTATACAAATAGTCAATAAATATAAGCTTACTTATTAGCTTTAGGCCGATATAAATAGTGCACATAAGAATATGTGTGTAGAAGGGTCTTCAAGAGGTGACCTAGTTCATCCCCAGCTCTGCAGCAGAATCAGTTATAACTAAATAATCCTAAGAGATACCATTTTAACCTATTCCTAAAGACCTCCAAAGATGGGGATCCCAAAGCTTCACTAGCTAAGCTATTTCACTCTTTAACTACACTTTTATTCTGAATATTTAACCTAAATGTCCTTTGCTATAAACTTATTATTTCTTCTCCTTCCCTCAGTGGAAATAGAAAACAACCTTTTACATATTGAAAGGACACTATGATATTCTATCCAGAGTATTTTTTTCCATTTTGCTTATCAGAATCTCATGTTGAATAATGCCTTGTTAAAGTCAAGATACATCAAACTATCTGTTTATAAAAATAATTCTATGTTGGATGTTTCCTACCACCTTATTATTCTCCAAGGATTTATAAATAGATTATTTAATCATTTATTTTAGTCTGACTGGATTTTAAGTCAACTAGTCAGAGGCGATTCTGCCTTAAGTAGGGGCTGGACTAGATGCCCTAGTAAGGTCCCTTCTAGCCCTACTTTTCTATGGTTCTATGGTCTTATTATTTTCTGGCCCTTATTTTGCCTACCTTTAAAGAAAGTTACTATGTTGGTCTGTATGTTCCTTCACATACTTCTCAAGTTCTTTAAGATAATTACTGATGTTTCAGAAACTGCTTCAGTTTGTTTTTTTAAGTATTTTAGGGTTAATTTAATCAGATCCTGATGACTTAAAAAAGCTACTTCACATAAAGACAGTCTTAATATACACTAAGAATATCCATAGGGAGAGTTAGTATGGAGTAGCTAGCGGACTGTAAATTCATCCTATAGCTTATTGCTCACAAACTCCCCCTGTAGACAAGCCCTGCATCTAACATACCTAAATATTCCCTTCTTTCCCTGCTCCAGTCAGTGTGACTATCCCCTTGTTGTTAATTTTTATCATGTTAAACACCTGGTCACAATTAACCTTTTCTGTAAAGACTGAAGCAGAAACAGCATTAAACATTTCAGCCTTACTCTGTCATCTGTTATTTGCTCTCCTTCTCTGTTAGATAATGATGCTATGCCTTTTTTTCTTCCATAGCTTCTAATGTATTCATAGATCCTTTCCTTCCTGGGCTTTGTGCCCCTTCCTAGTTGTAACTCATATGCTTTGCTATGTAAATTATAATCCAAGCTTTGCTATGTTTCTGCTATGCAGTTTCAAATACTATAAATGATACAATAATATTGGCATATTAAGTCTGTCACATCTTGATTATGTTGAGCTGGACAGCCTCTTTAAACAGCATCAGCTGCTTGAAGAGTTTCCAGAGACACACCTCTGCATCTAATTCAATCTCCTTTCTTGCCTCCAACAAAAGAAAGCAAAGTAGGAAATGTAAAGTTATCGCAAGGTATCCTGCTTAGAAAATTGACTTGACTCACTCAAAACCAATCGCTAGTCTGATTAGAGGTAGTTGTACGAAAGGTTAGCAGTATTGAAACATTTCTTTTTGGATATGAAACCATGAAAACAGGGCTGGAGGAGAGATAATTCTGCAAAATCTTTGGTAAAAGAATCTGTTTCCATAAGCAAAAAAGTGTATACAAATCTTCTGTAGCCAAGAGATTAGGAAGACCAGGATATTCTTCAAATCAAGGTGCTTCTTTTTCTCTGTAGTTCATAGCTACAGAAACCTCTTACACTATGAGCAATCCTGGTTGAATCAGCTAGACTTCATGAAATTATCTGACACATTAGTTTCAGTTTTCATGTTTATATTGCCAAATGATTTGCAATTCATTTTCTGACATTTTTGGTTTACTCTGTGTTGGAGTTCTGCTAAAAGAAGCCTGCCAAAAGCATTCCTTAGAGGGATAATGAACTTGCTAGAACAGTAATCACACTCTCTTATAAACCTCTGTATATTTGAATTTGAAATATACTTGAATTTGAATAGTTTAACAGGTTTGGACATGAAGCATGACAACAAAGCGTCCGCTAGCTTTTAAAACTATGATGCCCAAACAAAACAATCAATGTATCCTACAGTCCTTGCAGATGACAACAAAGTTAATGAAGACTTGCTAAAACTATGAGTAACACGGACACCAAGATAATCACTAGCTTATTTGTATTTTGTTACAGGGACAGCTTTATGGAAAAATAGAAGTTTATTACGTCCAAACTCTCTAGCTCACATGTGTTTTTACCATGCTCTTTTTTTTAAAGTTACAATAACAGGCTTTGGTAAAACATTTAAAGTTAACCAAAGTATGTTTGGATCAACTGTGTTTAGATCCACATTGCAGTTCCCAAGTGCCAGTTTCTATATTAACATATTGCATTTGCTAGTCTACTGAAACATTTGAACATTTATTCAAAGGGATTTAGCTGCTAAGTAGTCTAACCCACTTCTGAAAATAATAGTAATATATAAGGCAAGTCTTGAGACAGATACAGCTTGACATTTGAATTCACCTATTTATATGAATAGCAACAGGCTATTCATTCTCTAAAAAATGAATCCAGTGAACAGATTCAAAAGATTAAATATGCTATTGATTTTGGTGCTGCCCTGAAAATGCAATAGAACATATTCTGTAAACAGTTTCTGGTACTTATAGAATACTTTGTTACAGCCAATGACCTTAATGTCAATAGTACAGTTTATATGTATAGCCACCAGACTAAAAAAAGCTACCTGGAATATGCACATACCAGAATTCAAGGCAAACAATGCTAAGTGTAAAGGCTACACAGTGTAAACTGAACATAAGGTGCTCATTAACTACAGGAAGCCACTATGCTATCTATGTGTTTCACACCTCATTAAGGCTTGTTACCTTGTTTCCCTGAGAACTTTATGCTTGTAAGAGCAGCCTTGATACTGACAGGATCTATTCAGATCAGAGCTGCTTCTAGCCAGGTTCACAAATTATGTAGTTAATGAAATACACTTTTAGTTCAAGGTAGAAAGTGAAGCTGAGGGTTTATTCATAGCACTTAAACAGTTTGTGCATTTAACTGATATGCAGACAATGTTTGTTACAATGTAAGCAACAGGTAACACACTGGGATTGGCACTGTATTATACAGGTAAGCAAAGTATGAGCTTACCAGATATGAAGTACACTATATTTTGCCCTTCATGAACATGTATATGGTTTAATTAAAACCCACTTTCAATAAGATTCCATTGCACCATTGTTGAGCATACAAGCCAGAGAAAGTGTGGGGTTTAAAAATTAAAATATTCATCAAAATCACTTGATAAATAACATTAGAACAATCTGTAAAAGAGTAGATATGCTTGAACACTATTTCTAAATCTCCTCCAACTATACTAAGAAAGAAAACTTGCAAAGGGTTAATTCTGTTCTTTCTTTGGAGCATCGATAAGCTTCTTCTACAAAGACAGAAACGAATTCTCTCTCATACATTCTGCCTAAGGCCTACAAGGGGCTGTAGCACATTAATGATATGCAAACTATAATACATCTGTTTGTCACCTATCGATGATCATATCAGCCTGGCAAAAGGAAACACATTTCCCTGATTGTAGAATTGTTTTGACATTAGCTGCCAAGTTCTTGCAGAAAACACTTGGTGTGATTGCAAACAAGACTGTAATAATAATACTTAGTATTTCCCTCCCTAGTCAGTATTACTAAATTAATATTCCAACTGCCTTCAGGGCCATTTTTGCCTAAGGATTGTAGAAAGGGCCCTTGTAGCATTTTACACTTAAATATCTCTTCATTTTTTTTAATATCTGACCTCATGTAGTAATTCTGTAAAATCATTTCAAGTAGCATTGCTATATGCTTACATTATTTTTTCATGTAAAGTCACAATCCCACTCCAACTAAGCCAGCAGACATTTTGAAAGTCCTTTAAAAATAAACATAGCATAAACTATTCCTTAAATAAGCCCAAGCAAACATATGCATCACCATCAGAACCTAAGTTACAGTGTTTTAAAGTCAAACATAGAGGTCACATTTGGATAAATGATGCTAATATCAAGGCTAATATGTCATATCAAATACAGATACAGCAAAATTAAGGAGCACCTTCCCTTGTACTGAATAATAAATTTATGGCAAAATCTTTATATGCTGCGTAATGTGGATTTCTATAAAACTGTCCTTCAAAAGGGGTTCCTGAACATATGTTTTAGCATAAAATAAAGCTTTTCACATTATCTGTTATCTATTATCTTATTTTGAGGTCATGAAGATTCAGTCATGTACTTAAACTGAGATGATATTCACGGACAAACTCAGCAGTATGAAAATGGGATAAGTGCACTGAAAAGCTTATAGGCAGGGAGCCAACAATCTTCATGCGTTATATAGAAATGGCAGAGTGGTTTTTAGACACACCTGCTTTAGATGAAAGAAATTGAATTCCAACTCCATAACTGTCAAGCACCACTGCAAATAATAGAGGCTAAGCTGAAAGACTTCAGCAACATAGCTATTTTCCTGTTGGAGTGATGAAGCAGAAATCGGCCTTAGCTAGATTATATCTCTTTATGTTCATGCTGTGGAAACAATTCCATTCATCATTTCATTGCTTAATTCAAGACCCTGTTCTTCATTATGTGTGTATGACTAAGTATAATAAACACTTTCATTGCTTGGGTCAAAATTGTGACAAATGTGGATAGTGGTTTTACCATAATTACATAAAAAATTCTGAAGGAAATAAGGTAACTACAACAAATCATTTGGACATCTTCTCATTAAACCTGTTTCGTGACCCTACATGCACAAGGCTGTTTCTTACATGGTCCCTTAAACAGAAGAATACTCATTTCTCTTTTGCAGCTTCCAATAAGACGAAGATAACATAACAAGAGGACAATGAAGACAATCATTTGGATGCTGGTAATCTGGCAGTGTGCACGTTATTCTTTTGGGGCTGTCTGAAGATGCAGCATGAAGAAAATGCTAATGCTCTTCCTCCAACCTCAAATGCTCGTGTTGAGAAATAATTGATTCCAGGGCACACACCAAGAGATTTAACTACTTTTTCAAAGTCATGGGGTGCAGCAATGCTCAAATACCTATTTTGCATCTGTCATGTCACTTCCTGAAGTACTTGCTTTCTAGAAGAGCTAGATTTCACAATGACTTAGATTATTGTAGAAAGACTCTTTAGTTTTGTGTAATTTGTAATTGAAGTTTGAAAAGCATAAATTGGTTGCCTGATTTCTTTTTTTTAATCAGATTTCTTTGTCCACTTTTTTGAGAAGAATAATTGACAGGCTACTTTTGCTGAGAAAATGCTATAAATGTGAGAACAGGAGGGAAGGTCACAGTACTGTTTAACTGGTTTCTTGAAACAGCTCCAGATTGTGGTATCACCTAGTTAAACATGGGTGACTGGAGATCTCCTAAGCAAAACAGTGGGTAAATACAATAGCCTGGTCATGGTCATGAAAAAGTATCACAATTTGTTTCAGATCTTGGATTTTTTCCTTATATTCAAAATGAAAGGTGCCTCCAACTGCCCCCTCAGAAGTAGGGCAAGACTTGCCACCTATGAGTACATGTCAGCTGATCCATTGTAATTACTTTGTCTGTCTGCTCCCATACTTACATTTAGTAAGTGCAACTAAATCTCAATGAATTATCCATGAATGAAACATGTAGTCAATTACTGTGGTTTCAGTTCGACTTACTACATGATAGGGCAGACAAACAAAACAGCTGAACCAAGGCTAAATTCTCTCCCTTCCTTTTAAAGCAGTATAATTGGTTTGTCTTTCCATACCAGTAATGATATCTGTTGCAATGTTGACATTTAGCTACACCAATTTTCACTCTGAGCCCCTAAATTTTGCTAATGCCATAGGAGAAACTCTTTCAGTACAGAGCACGTAAAAATAAATAAGGCCTCAAGTGCTACTGCTATTTTAATTGTTGATGACAAATGTTTAATGGTAATCAGATGAAAGATGAAGGTGCCTAGTAAAGCTTCCAAAAGCCTAGGAAGTCTTGAAAATCCCACTGGGTGCATCCAGATGAGCGTGTACGTGCATTTTCAGGGACAAATAGCAGAGGCACATCGTTACACAGCTGCTACTTGGCCCGGGGGAACGCCCATGCGTGCGTGGTCTGATGTGTAGCAGGGTGCCCCAGCTGGGATAGGGGAGGCTGGGGCCAGTGCCAGGACAGGCCCCAGAAGCCTTAGGTGAGGTCCTGGGGGCCTCCCAGGGCTCCAGCGGCAGTGATCTGGCACGTGGAGCCTGTCTAGCAGCTGGAGCATAGCTCTGGTTTCAGGTGCCTCATGCTGTCGCCACATGCATTTTCAGGCATGGGTATTTTTGACACCAGGATCTCCTGGTGTCTAAAAACCCTGCCATGCTGCAAATCATCAGTGCGGCAAACACCTGCGTGTGTGGCGCATGCAGTTTGCAGTGCGGCAAGTGAGTCTACAGTGCTGCAAACCACACGTGCATGCTCATCTGGACATGCCCATCAGTTGCTCAAAATCATCTTTAGGGAGCAAAACCACCTCATGATGCATCCTTTACTACTAACTTATTAAATGGCTACCTTAGCACTGCTTGTACTGATGGGAACAATGAACGAAACTTTTCAAAGTATGGACCAGAGCATAGCGGGCTCATACATTCATTTGGGACAAATGCTTTAATATGGTCAATTAGGCTCAGGTACCGGATATGTCACAAGTGGCATTGTGAATACCCTATGTTCACTCTTCATCCTAGATCAGGATATAGATCCCTTGGCAGAAGTGTGCAGAAGTGATATGACTGTATTCCCCCAAAAAAGTAACTTTAGTAGAATGAATTATGTGATCACAGATTGATCCCTTTATTTTTCCTGAAACAGCAAATGGAAGAAATTTGATCCATCTTTGACCTATGCTTACTGGAGGACTAAATAAGGAATTTTTCTATAAATCTTTAAAAATATGAATTGTGTGTTTTCCAACATTACAAAGTAGGTATTCCCTGCTTAAATATGCTGCTTGTATTGTAATCTATAAAAGGATTCCCCCTTCCCCCAGCCTAATTTCTAGTAAGTAAGAGATATAAGTTTCTTTCCAAACTTAACTGTGTATATAACAAAAGCTTTGAAATATATTCATACTCTGTGTTTCAAATAAATAATCTTTTATTCGTTATCGTTCTACTTTTTGTTTATCATTCTATGGTTTTTTTATTTAACCATACTTTGACATAAACAGTTTTCTATAGCACATTCAAAAGAAGACTATGCAGATTCATCACAAATTTCCAATTGGTTATATACAGATAATTGACCATCCAAAGAGGAAAAACTTTTAATTTTTTAAAAACTGACATCCATAATTGTGTGGTCTAATCTCAAGTTAAGCTTTTTGAGTTCACTTCAACAGTTCCAGGAAGATGTTAATACTTAAGGCAGAACATTGGCATCCAACAAGTATCTATAAGATTAAATTTAGGGTGGCAATTATGCCTTTCTTCAACTACAGCCCCAATCAATAAAAAGATTTCTATTACCTTGCCTCCATAATCTTCACAGTAGACAGTGCTAATGGACAGAAAGACTGCCAAGATTGGATTTTAGGGCCTAAACCAGATTTCAATACCTTATTGCACCCATGTGCATTTCTAGAATAAACTGTTTAAGACAATGCACATCTTCATTTATCTTAAGAACAGTAATAATTGAGTATTTATCAGAAAAGAGAACATGTTGAGCATTTCCTATACCTGCTTCATGATTCTGCTGGAACTCAGACAATTGTTGGTTGACAGCACAGCTCAGCTATTACATTAACTAGACTGTCTGACATGAAAGTATTGGTACCCTTTTTATCAGCTCAGCATAACAATCCTTGTCTTTGAGGGTGAACTTTTCAGATCTCCTTTTGACTTTTCACTGGTGGCATGAGTCACTATGGCCAGAATCAGGTGTTGTATTTGTCGCTGGATAAGATGTGCCTGTGCTTATCCCAGAATAAAAATATCCCAGGATTGACATGTACACATCACCTTTTTGATCAGAGTTTAGTGAGTGACTGAATGCAGTGCTGCTTTTTTTGCCAGTGATTTAGTGATGCCATTGATTCAGAGGATAACTGTATAGATGTACTTTGCAGTATCCCAGGATAAATTATTACTACCCAGTATTTCTTTTTTGGATTTATCTCAGAACAATTGACGTAGATATGTGTACAACTGCACTTTGTCCTGATATAAAACGTTTTTCCCAGGATAAATGTGAAGTCTAGCAACAAGCTCTCTGTCCACATAAATTTTAATTATTTTCTTCCTGAGCACTTGGTTTTCTGCACAAAGCACTAACTTTCCTATAAACTTTTGAATAAAGACCTTCCATCTAATATTCACAAACTTCCCAGCATCAAAGTCCTTTCCAAGATTCAACTTTACTCTCCAGACCTCAAAAGCTCTTCATGGGCATGTACAGATGTTACACTTAGATGAGTCTAAATGAACAAAGATCAATCTAAGTACATAACTGTACATAACTATGCTCAGTGCACGTAGACTGGTCTAAATGTGGTGCAAGCAACCTCAGATAGACCTTGTTCAAGGTACATTCAATTGAGATCGATTATGGTTAGATCAAATTTATGTACTGTTCCCCGGTGATTTAAGTTAGATCCCTGTTCTCTGGCATCCTAGCCTGCTTTGCAGCCTTCTGCTACCCCTCCCTCACAGGTCAGCCTGTTAGCACTCAGTCTGTACTTGGCTGCTCTGGGCAAATGCCAAGCAGGACCTGCCCCACCGCAGTCTTAGCACTGAGAAAGCACAGCCCCTCTCCTCAGCCCAGCCTCCAGCCACCTGTCAGCCCCAGGCAGGCAGTGGGGGGAAGTGAGGCATCTGTGTCTGCCACATGAGTCCCTGGGCCATTCCCCCATACCCTCATCACCCCATCACAAAGCACCCCACAACATACATGCAGAGCCCAACACTGAGCCAAGAAAAACCCTGGTGATTGGGCCTAACCCTAGCACCCGCACACCCAGCCATGGATCCCCATGGCCCCATGCTTGGGCACAGACCCCAAACCCAGCACCCACATATCACCACTCAGAAGCCACAGAAGGCACCCTGCAACCTGGACACTAGCATAGACATGCTCCCGCTACCAAGCAGGAGCTGGTGCAGACAGCTTGCCTCTGCAGAGTCATCGGGGTGGGTGTAAGGGCATTGGGATTGGGCCTGCACAGAAACAACCTTGTGACCTCTGAGGCTTGGCCACTGCCAGCAAGTATCTAGGCCATGTGCACCAGGAGTGCTGCAAGGGTTTTCTGGCCCACAAATCCAGGGTCCCGGATTACTAGGGCCGGAGGGGGGTGGGAGGCACTAGGCATCTGAGCTGGGGCAAGCAGGCAGACACCTCTGGAAACTTCAGGAGCAGCTGCCTCAGTATTGTAAGTAGAAGGCACTGGAAATTTCCAGGCTGGGGTGTGGGGCAGTGCTAGCATCATAGAGGCATCTGCTGGAAGCCCCTGCAAAGTTCCAGGTCATGGTGTAACCTGGCCAGTGGTCATTCTGGAGCAGGGGCTGGACCCAGTGAAAGGGAAAGCCACACACTGGGACCAACACTTCCACACACCCACCATTCCATCCATCCATCCCCTTGCTGCCAGACCCTCATCCACCCATGGATGCTAAGATCCCATGGGCATCATGAACCATCGAAGAACCTGTCACATCCTCCTCCAATACCAAACCCTGGTCACACAGCTGGGGCTACAGGGAAATAAGGGATCTCATTGCCATCTGGGGTGAGCAGGAGACTCAGGACCAGCTCCACAAAGGCCACTACAACAGGGATGTGTTCAAGCACATTGCCCAACAGATGAAAGTGTGGGGCCACTACAGGGCTGAGGTGCAGATGAAATGCATGAACATCCATTACAAGCTTATGCA